AAAACAAAACAAAAAGCTTAGGAAAAATACGTGTAACAAATAGAAAAAGATGACAGTTTTTATAACAAGTGTTTATACGAATTGATGGGAAAATATCAAGGCCTGCATTCCAGTTTCCCCACAATCAAGCTTCAATCAGCAGTCCAAGTCATTTTCTTAAAATGTCAAATGTCAAGTCTTTAGTAACTTCCTATTAAGTCTTGACCTGTGTTACTCTCCCTCCCTCAGGGGTGGGTTACCCAATAAATAAGGTAAGCATGAGCCTACTTGTGCTTACTTACTAATCTCTAGTGAACAATTTCACTTTTTTTTTTTGTCATAAAGATGTGGTCAAACCCATTTGGAATTGTTCACTACAGATTAGTAAATAAGTACAAATAAGCCTGTGCCTACCTTGCTTACTGGGTAATCCAACATGGCTCTCTCATCATTACTACTTACTCTAGCTGCCCCTTCCTTTCAGGTCTCTGTGTAGAATAAGCTCGGTCCTGTCTCAGGGCCTTTGTATGAACTGCTGCTTCTGCCTGTAATATTGCCTCCAGCTTCTCCTGGCTGACTCTCCATGTCTTTGCTCCAAGTCTTGGCCTAAATGCTGCACCTCAGGAAGAACATTTCTGACCAGTCCAGCCAAGGAAGGTTCCTCCTTGTTTCCCCTTGTTTATTTCCCTCAAAGAATGTACCGCAATTTGTAGTTGTTTTATGTATTCCCTTTAATTTTTTTGTTTTGCCGGCATTGTCCGCTAGATGTAAGTTCTACAAGGCTAGGGATGACATCTAATTTCCCTTCTTAACCTTAGGATATCTGATAACTACAATGTCTCAACAAATATGTGATAAAGCAATGAAACTCATAGAAAGGAGACCCTGAGGAAGAGAGTGTGTGCCCCCGACCACCTGTGAGGAGGGGTTGGGACCGAAGGTGAAGAGAAGGAGTAAGGGGAAGCTTGTGCTTTTTACTTCACATAAATATATATATTTTAAAACTAAAGAGTACATCCCTTTGTGATTTAAACCTCCAAAATAGACATTAAAACAATGAGTTCTTATTTGCCCGTTAAAGTAGTAAAACTCTTTTTGTTTGAAAACAAATGCTCACAGGCTCAGCTGGCGGCAATTTCAGTTGTTGAAAAAACCCTTGCCTATAGGTGGGGAAAATTCCAGGCACAAAGATATTCATTTCATCACGGTGCATACCAGTCAAATAGTGGGTTAACCTGATTGGCGAAGCGGCAGGGATTGGTTACATATGTGAGGAAGCATGTACTGGAAGTGAAGCTTATGTCATCATATTAAGTTTTGGGTGGTGGGAAGCTGGCTAGGGTATAGTGTAGAATGACAACTATGTAAACTCTGGTAAAAAGAATTGGAGAAAATGCATAAAATGAAACTAGTTGCTATGTTAAGATGGTGAGATTAAAGGTACTTTTTCATTCTTCTTGAAGTTGACAGTAATGTTACACAGAATTATGATTCTCTTGGTGGTGGTGGTTATGTGCCGTGAGTCGGT